TACAACCCACATTTGGTCTGAAGAAGTTTTTAATTTTTTCCACTTACAACAGGGTGATTTTGGCTGGGTGTTGCTTGGGCGAGAGGCACAAATCTCAATTTTGAGATGCCCCTTTTGACAAAATCTATTTTTATTAGGGAAACGCATCAGTGCTGGAAGAACACCTGGAAGAAGCTGCTTCCTGCAGGTGTAAAAGTAAAAGAACCTGAACACTGTCAAACAATTTATTTCAGAGAGATTACATTATTTTATTACTAAAGGTGGCGGGTAACAATTTAACCTTAATATTTTTGGCTACATTTCAACTGACAGTTAAGTCTACAGCAGATTGCTTAGTAACAAGGCAGATAAAAATGGAAAGGCAAAGTGGATTAGCCCAATTTAACAAGTAAGACTGACATACATTGAATCAGGCTTGTGAAATATACTTTTTTTACTAATACAAAACATCTATTCTGTAATAGCAATTCTGTTTCTAGCAATCTCTCCTGAAGCAGAAAAGAACTGTCAGCAGCTCAGGCATGTAACCTGAAAGCTCACAATACACTAATTAATACATTTAAATCAATTTAAGTTATATAAAATCACAATCCTTAAAATAACAACAAAGACTAAAAATGCCACTATGTATTTTTTTTGTTTCTTCACAACAAGCCGTCTTGTACCAAACACACCGCTAAGAGATACAGATTATTAAGTTAAAATTTCAAAATACTTGAAAAGAATAAAGATAGCGATGATATTAAAAAGAAAGAAGTCAAATATGGAATGCCCTGAGAATAAAAATCTATTTCAGATTAATGCAAAATGATAAACATTAATTGAATGGAATATTAAACTGACTCCTTCCGACAGTGCAATTTTATCCCCAACTCTTTTGAACCTCCTCATAGAAAGGAATTGTAACTTGGGACACTGAAGAAAGTATTTGAATATTAAAAAGACCTAAATCCACATGTCTATCTGTGGAGTCTTTCAAGATTTTTGTCCTCTTTTCTGACTGCTTTTCTATACAGTTTGCATCTTAGTCTTAGAAGCTAGTTTAGACCCATTACTTTTGAAAAACATAATAATTATTGCTATTTACACATACAGGGTTGTCATAAATAACAAGAAGCTTTCATAGGTAGGAGAAAATATATTTCATAAAAAATTCACTATCAGTATGAAGCCATCCTGAGCAAAGTGTTGCTAACAATAGAACTGCCAAAGAGATTCTGGCATAAAACCATGGGGCAATGGGCATAATATAAAGATTAAGTTATTTCTGCTGTGTTTTAAAATATTGCAAGCACTGTTCATTGATCTTATTTAAGGTTAGATTTTGCTGAAGTGGAACTAATTTTCAGCTGCATTCACCTTAAGAGAGAAAACTTCAGCCTAATACACCAAACACCAGAGCTGAAACCAAACCATGCAAAACCCACTCAAAAGAATATTCATCTGCATGACCATATTTTTTTTTCTCCTCTTGGCCATTTTTCTGAAAGTTCAGCTACAATATAGTGCAAAATGGGAGAATTTGTTCCAACAGAAGCATCCAAGCCTGAGCATCACCATCTCATCCCACTTACACCAGCTTTACAGCGTGTGCTGCACAGCAGTGAGTTGCCTCCCTGGGTGAAAGAATGGCAGCAGCTGGGTTGCTGTCTCAGAATGACCCATCTGAGCTGCACTTCATGTCCTTTTATTTCCCTATTAATCCCAGGAAAGATGAAGCTACAAACAGGCTGTGTTTTTCATGGAGAATGTCAAGTACATAGGGGTACTAAAGCCTCGTGAGACAGCACTTCTTGAGAATTCCTAGTGTAAAAATGCACACTGCACTTTCAAGTGCCAAAGTTTAGAGAAATGCAGAAGGCAAAAAACACACCAACTGTAGAACACATGCAGTATTATTTAAAGCCATTAAGCAAAAAATTGTACCACCACTGTGCCACAGCAATGGCAGGATCTCTTTATAATGGATTTCTTCCAGTACAGTGATTCATGTTTACTTTGATTACTCCACATTTCAGCATGTAATATTTTTGTTTCAACATTGTTGTAATGCTAGAAACAAATATCTTACACCTGCCACTTTTCTTTTACACTGACTTCATGTGACTAATTGTGAGCTGAGAAAACAGCTAAGTAGTAAACCTAACTTGGACTGCAAAAATGAGAGGGAAACAAAATGTCCTTACCTGACTCTGGAAAAACCCAATTTAGGAGAAAACTTTTCTTTCTAGATCGTCCAGCTATTCTATCATCTTTTTTTTTTGGCTTGTTTGCTTTCCAAAGCAAAACACATGCATGAAATAGCAGTTACATAAGTTAATTCAAGCATTTCATGGACTTGTCCTGAAAAGCAAGGATATACTCCCAAAAGTGCATCCTTCTGACAAATGTTAACTGTCTGGCTGTGTTCTACAATCCTATTACTACTTAATGACTTATTTTCTGAAAATGTATTATACAATTTTCCAGAGTCATTAATGAATGCTTTCTAAATACAAGAAAAGTGCTGTATAAACTCCTACTGGAGCTTGACAACATAATGAAACAAACTTTGCCTGGAGTACAGGAACACAAATATTTGTCTAGTCAATTTTTAAAAACACTGCTCTTGAAATAACCTGGCAAGGACCTCTGTTTTGATGCAACTGGTAGCACAGAATACAAAATCCTCATATCACTGAAAATAAATAAAAATAAATATTTATAGACTAATATAAATATTCTGTGGCAATGATGTTATTTCTTCTGTAAGCTGAGATTTGAAATCTACAATTACAAGGCAGTGGAAGAAAAAAGTACAACCCAAAATATCTCTGATGGTATGTTACTTCTGCATTGTTGGCATGCAAGGGATATTGAGGCTGGATAACGGGTACTGCTACACTGACAATGCACTGGAATGGGAGCACAGTGTGCCTATTTAATCCACTCATTCCTCATCATTCCCTTTGAACAGCTGCACCTTTAACACATGAACTGACTTAAAAATATCTACATCTCATCAATATTTATAGACTTTTGTGCCTCTACTCCAGACCAGACCACGAGAGGCCAGAAAGGTCACCTCTACCTACAGAGCTATTTAGAACACAGCATTCCTATATGGTAAAATAGGAAATAAACAATGAGGTTAAAGTGGGGTGATCTTGGTATTACATTAGGAAGAACATAGGGAGAGATTGCAATAAATGAAGTATACAGTATTCAAAAAATAAAAAAGTTGCTCATCCAGTATTAACTATATTAACTTATCTACCTTATCTATTTAAATTGCAAAATTGTAGAGGTTACCATCTGTGTTACATCTGTGTGCAGCCTGGACTTGAGACTTAAAGACTGCCTGAACCTTTGAACGGCAAAGCAAAGTAAATACTAAATGACAGCATCACCTCATGTCTAGTAAGAAGCCAGCACACTTTTAGCTCACAAAAAACATAGGCAAGAGACTACAGTTAATGAAAATCAGAATACTTTTCAAATTTCTAAATTAAAGTCATAGTGTCAATGAAAGGAAGTATTTTTTAGCTCTGCCAAAGAGTCCAGAATTCATTTGTAGGGCCTCAGATAAGCTGGTGTAAGCACTAGAAATTTTTTAATTGCTTTCTGTAAAGGAAAACTAGGGTTTCTAGACCAAATACTTATAATTAAATATTCAAGTTAGTAGGAAAAACATTTTCTAACATAAGATTTAGGATAAAAGCCTAAGTATTGTCAGGGTTTAGGATTAGATAAATCTGATGTTTTTAGTTTATCAAGAATACAATATCCTGGGAGAAGATACTTGGTGTTCAATCCAACACCCAGCCCCTCCTGGAAACTGATTCTTTTTTGTATTTTCTTGTTTGCGACTACAGATGTGTAAACTTCAGATGTGATTAATTTGTGATTATGTAAAAAAACAAACAAAAAATTATGCAAACTCTAAATATCTTTAGACACTAGGAAATATCCTTGAAGTATTTTGTTTAAAATGCGATACAGAATTTTTTCTTCATAAGTAACAAACACAGAGCTTTTATATCTTCATCATTTTAATCTATTATTATACTTCTCTTGAAGTACTGGATATTATCTCCTAATGAAACAATTTGTTAGTGTAAGAACACAGTGTCAGTAAGATAGAATACAGTAGCTCTTTTCACACTACTGAACTACTGTGCTGCTGCTGAGAAAAATGGGTTTATCAAGAGCCCACATTTTTTTCTATTAAACAAAACTCAGTTGTTAATACTGGCTGAGCATTCTTCTGCTCAAAGTTTTAACGAACGATGCTAAATAAATTAATCTGTTTTCAGCATTATGAAGTCCCTCCATCTCACAATTTCACCTCAGCACTGTACTAATGCAGTCCCAGGATTTTTGGATTTCAGCAGGAGCAGAACAAAATATTTCATCCAAACAAGACTGGGTAAACTGATGGCAACATTTTAAAATTATTATTTTATCTCTAGATATATACGAGAAAAAAGACAGGTGGGTAAGGACTAGAAAAGGAAGATTTGATTACAATCTTAAGACTCATAATACGCTGTTGCAAGGAACAATATACAAAAATCCCTTACATTACTGCCTTTTTTTTTTTTTTTTTTTTTTTTGGGTATGTTACATCTATGTCTAAGTGCCTGGAATCTGAAGCACACCTTCAATGCTCAACTGCAAAATCTGATTTAACATGCCTATTCTACCCCCAGCTGGGGACACCCAACACTTTTTTGGCTACTCAAAACCTGGCCATGGTGCCTTGTCACACCGTTACATTGCAGAGCACTCCTAAACTCAGCAGCTCCAGGTACTGCTGGTTTATGCTGCTTAGGGTTTGCTACCGTTTTCCTTTTACATCATACAAAATACTAGAATTGCTGTAGTTTGCATTCTGTAACACGTATTTTAGCCAAAACAAATAAATACTGGTTTGTGTTACAATACATTATGTTATTTTCCAAGAGCTGGAATTGACTGGAACAACGAAAGATTAATTTAGTTCTTTATTCAATTCTTACCTGAGAAGAATATGTGTGACCATCTGATCCACAAACAGGATTGGTATAAACTACTGGACACTGCTTGCAGTTTGATGAAATGGGACCACCCCTCCACTGTTTATGGCCTAAACCAGCCTCTTTCATACTGTAAGTAAACAAAAAGTATGTAATTCTGATAAGCAGTATTAAAAACAGAACATATTCAGGGTATTTTAATGAGCCTTTACAAACAGTAAGCCATACACAATTTGAACCATAAAGTTTTCTTGTACATAAATGGCTGCCAATGTCTTTGGCATAAACTTTTTCACCTTTGTACTTTGCTGACTGTGTGGATACTTGATGCCGGCATATTATTTCACTTTCTAAAACATGAGCAGAAAAAGGTGATTAAGATGATGCTTTGGGGACTGTTACATTTATTGATCAGTGAAAGATGCTGGAACTACGTGACAATCTTTTTGCCATTAAACAGTATGAATAAAACTATTGTATCAATACTGGTATTTTATGAGGCAACAATTAGCTTTTAGAGAACTGTATCATAAATACTTCTAGAGAAACAGGGAGGTGGTCCTACTCTTTGCCCCACTTTGAACACTGTCTTTCACTGTCTGTAATTTGCAAAATTCAGTCAACACTCAATATCCAAAGGGAAAAAAACAAATTAATCAACTGGAGCACAGAATCAATCTACACAATCATATACGTGTATCCTCATATAAACATATACAGAGCTGGATATTTCAACTTAGGAAAAGGCTGGGTCAGAATAAAAGTCTAAAATAAGTTACTGACGCTTCTTCACAATACTTTTACAGCTTTCAGTTTGTGGCATACAGCCATCATCAGAGAGACATGCTTTTCTCTGTAGCTTTCAATAAATTCTTATTATTAATTCATCCAATTTTTTTTTTTAACTATGAAAGCATTTAGCAGCCACTGTATCATGAAACAGCTCTTTTATGACCTTAAAACATATGAAGAAGTTACTTCTTTCATATAAATAAAAAAAAAAAAAAAACAACAGCACATGATTTTTATAGTGGTTTTTTTTCTCCTCGGGATCTTAATGAGGAACCTAAATTTGATTACACTTAGAATACAGCAATGACTTATCAGGACACACACAAATATTCAAACTTATAAAATCTCAAATCAAACATTCTTTCATGGAGCACAACTCTCACAGAACTCTTTCAATGCTTTCACCTACAGATAATCAAGAACTATTTTGTTAGTAATGAATCATTGTTTGTGAAGAACTTGTCTGGAGTAATAAAAAGAAACATGAGAAAATAAACTCCTTATCCTCTGGTTTTATAATAAGCAGAGTAAAAGGCTAGAAGCATAATAATAAACTGGTGATGACAAAAACTAAAAGCCCATTTCCTAGCCATGCTAAGGTTTATGTGAATAATTTTAGCTGTAAATATGGCCTTTTAGACCAAAAAAAAAAAAAATACAGGAATCATAGAGGTTTGCTTTCAGGTTATGCTGTTAATGAAATTTTGAACTGCACAGATTTTTGACAGTGTAAACAGGAAGCTGAGATGCTGTACACAGAAGGTGTCAGTTACTATTGAAAAAGCCAGAAATAGCTTCAGTTCTATGTAGCATAATGAATATTAAAGTATCAATAAAGGAAGTATTTATGTCCACCAGGAAGGACTAAAAAGGAAACAATCCAAACATACCACCTTAATTAACAAGTAACAATCCTTTCTGACAAGTTGTACCATTTGAAGACAAAGCAAAAATCATCTCACTTCTATTATAGCAAAAAAGAAAAGATAAATTGTGTCTTTGATCATGTACAATATATAATATATAATTAGACTATTGCTGCTCCTTTCACTTGACTGAGAGCTTTCCAATCATTCATATGAGTTCCAGCATCATTAGATTATACAGATGGCTGCATCTTTCTCTAACTTCTAGTTACTTTTATAGCTCACAATTATTCAGAAGTGCCCCAGTAGCCTGGGGCTACTGACAGGACCAGCATCCCAAGTATCAACCTGATGCAATTTCTGTTTATCAGAGATACAGTAACTTTAAAATACAAATAAATTGTAGAAGCTGCACAAATAAATTGCAGAAGGTTCCAGACATCAACAGAGAGAAGCTCATTGACATCAGCAAAAAACAGACTGGAAGCAGAATTTGTGCAACACACGAGGGGACTTGGTGTAGATGCATAAAATAAATCAAAGAAAGAACGAGTGGTGCTTAGTGTTTTAGTATATATATATGCTTGTGCATGCTCTTGATGAAGACATGAAAAGACAGAGAAAGGAAAAAAAGCCCTCCTTTTAGAGGAAGAGAAGTAAAATCACCTGAAGGAAAAGAGGGGTCTCAGAAAGTATCACAAGGAGGACAGATACTAGAACAAGCTCAGAAGGCTGAAATTGCAGTTCTGTGATGAGCGGAGATGTGCGAAGAGAACAGAAAATATTTTATATAGTCAGATAAACCACCTTCCTCAACTAACCTCTGCTTTGTTAGGCTTTTAAATGCAAACTGTCCCAGGGCACTCATTTAAGCTGAAGAGTGTCAAATTTCCTCTTTTACACAGAACTCCTCTGAGACCTTCAGCAGATCACTGTTACCAAAATTGGCTTCTACATAACTAATAATATTTCTGTAAAAGACAGACAGATCTGTATTTTCCCAAAACTGTAATGAAAGGTACAATGATAAAGAAATTTAAAAAAATGATAATTTGAAGGTATCAATACAGAGACTCGGTCATGGGGATGGTTTGTATGGATATCCATTTAAGGCTTTAGTACAGTAATGCTGAAAGTGGACTGTATTATCAAAGCTCCTGAACAGCTACTTTTGACTGCCAGTCACTGACAGGCAAATATAAAAAGTCAATTAAAAATATTTTTAATGTTAGTTATGGCAGATACCTGAATAATGCACTTTACTTGTGTACTCAAACTTTTCCTTTCATCATTATTTAATTACATCAGATTTGTTTCTGTTGACTCTTCCTTTTAACCCGGTATTGGGAGTTATGTTTTTTACAGCTAGGCAATGATCACACATATAAACTACTGACATGGAAATAACTGAGAAACTACTGTGATGATAAAAATTATCTTGAGATATGATCATTGATGTGTGTCAACAATATCCTGAACTAGGTACAAAAATATAACACATATAATCAGTTATTACTTATGTAAGCTACGTAAATAAAGCAATATATATTTACATTATAAAATGTTGAGATGGAAAAAAATAGCAAAGAAGGCATTTATTTCACTTTAATAAATTTTTTTTTGTTCCTTCTATTTATTATAATTCAATATTCAAGAAGACGACCGAGATCACTGCAACTTGCAGCTAATAAAATTTTGTCATTGAATTTTGTGATTCTACTGCAATCACTATAAATGTTCTTGCACTTATTAGTATGTTGTCACATTAAATATATGATGTCATGAGAAAGTCAGCCTCTCCCACCAAAAATTTCCAGAAAAGGCTTCAGTACCTGTCTCATAACACAATTACTATTACTGAATGGAAGCTCCACCTTATCTGATATTGTTGACACCTAAAGGGTAAAATTAAATACATGGGCCTAATTTACCAGCAATGCTTCTGATTGCATTAATTTGCATACACCAAACTGTGCATGCCTGCCTAGAAACATAATTAGCCAATCTGCCCAATTAGTCTAGCCTATGTACCTGTTTGCATACATAAACTCACCTTCCTGTATACACAGTGATTGTGCCTGCAAATACTTTGAGAATATTTAATGCAACCCATTTAAAATTTAGCTTTGAGCAACACTTTGGCAACATGACTTATTTAATAATATCTATATAATGCACGAGTGCCCAATTCAAGTGAAAAATGGCATTTTATAGCTATATTTGATAATCTTCAAACACATTTTTCCAAAACTGGTTGAAAAAAGTCTGAGTTACTAAAAACTGATCTTTGAAAGAACTCTTGCAATTCTCCTCTGATAACTACATTTGCATCTTTAGGAGATTTTAAAGTTATCCCAATTTAGAGAGTCTGCCTGATTATGTTTTGCCATGGCCTTTGGGGGACACAATCAGGCCGTGTAAGATTAACATAATCAGAAAAACCACTTGTATCATAAAATCTAAATTGCTTTCTTTAGAGTTGCCTGAATATCCTTCAAAGCTGCCTTTTCATGTTGAAGCCTCTTGGAAGAAAACCATAGTTGTCAATGTACTACTAAGAGGTTTCTTTCAAATGTCAAAAACCTCTCAATTCATTACTGCCAGTCTTTTTGAGTATATTATTTTCACTTGTTTCTTTACTTTGCACTACTCCTAACAAATAGAAGAAAAAAACATCTGAATAAACTAACAACAACTGAATTAAACTGAGATAATTAGAACAAAAATTCATAAGATTAATGTGGAAATCAAAATAAAATATATTTTAGCATTTTTAGCAATTTTCAAATTAACATTGTCAGTAAGACATTTGCATTTATTGAGAACCAATCTTAGTGTAGACTGAGTTAGCAAGTGTGCTATTTTCATAAGACAAAAATACAAAGACTGCACCCCAAGACAAAAATCATAGGATCATAGAATGTTTTAGGTTTGAAGGAACAAGCCCTAAAGATAATTGGATTCCAATCCCCCTGTCATGGCCAGGCACACCTTGCCCTACACCAGGTTGCTCAGTTGCATCCAGCCTGGCCTTGAACACTGCCAGAGATGGGATACCCACAACTGCTCTGGGCAACCTGTCCCAGTGCCTCATTACCCTCACAGCAAAGAATTCTTTGCTAGTAAATAATCTAAACCTACTATTTTTCAGCCCCATCACTAAATGCCCTTGCAGAAAGTCCCTCTCCAGAGCCCTTGCAGGCCCCCTCTGGGAGGTACTACAAGGTCTCCCCAGAGCCTTCTTTTCTCTGGGCTGAACAACCCCCATCTCTCTCAGCCTGTGCCTGCTGGAGAGGTGCTCCAGCCCTCTGGGTATCTTTGCAGGCCTGCTCTGAATCTGCTCCATCCCATCCACATCCTTCTTATGTTGCAGGCCCCACAGCTGGATGCAGCAACTCCATGTGGGGTCTGACAAGAATGGAGTGGAGGAAGAGAATCACCTCCCTCAGCCCACTGGCCATGTTGCTTTGGA